AGAAATTTCACTAAACATACTTTTTACTCTGCAAGCTCCAAGGGCATTGAGTTTCAAAAGATTCAAATTTTAAATTATTTAAAGTTACATCTCCAAACTTAAATTTTTCTTCATCGTACCCAACTGCAGAAATGATTAAAAAAACATAAATTAATGATAAAGTAATCGTTCAATTGCTAAATTAATGATAAAAAAAAGATTTGAATTTGACTTTATATGTAAGACTTATCTCAAACTAACAATTAAAACTCAAATAAATAGTTTTATTTGATTATCTTAAGCAAATTTCAACAGAGTAGAAAAAAAAATGAATTTCTCAAATTTAATATTGATTTATCTTATTTACCTTTTGTGTTTCTACTAATTAAACTTATCTGATTCAAATTTAGTAGTTGAATCATTGGTTGAAAAAAAAAAATTTAGTCACAAAATCATTGGATCGTCGCCAAGTCGGTGGTTAAAGTTGCCGGTTCTGAACCATGGGTGATAAGGATGGCATCAGAATTCCCAGTTGATGGAAATAAATGTCATTTAATTATAGAGTCTGATTCTAGTACTGTTGTATCTTTATTGTCTGAAGACTCCCCTGAGTTTCCTCCCCTTATAAATTATAGTTCTTATTTTTTATTGCAGGAAAATGTTGCAACAAATACTTGATGTTAATGTTATCGACGTGGTATGGGCAGCAAGCATGGCATCGGATGCCTTGGCGAAGGTGGGACACAATATTTTAGATGATTTTGTTTTGTTTGATCGTATCCCTCACGCGGTCAAATATGTATGCATTGCTGACATTTTAGGGATTAAATTCCCAGAACCAACTGATGTACTTTCACTTTAGTATGTTAGAACATTTTTCTTCAATACCAAAAAAAAAATAATAATAAAAGTTGCCGGTTACCCCATAAAAGCAGCGTGACGTGACCCAATAAATAAGCTAGTGTTGGTCGGAGAGTGGAGGAGGGGGCCTGCCCCTAGCACTGCTCATCGGTCTTTTAGTCCTTGAGTACTGCTTTGTGAAATTTTGTTTTTACAATTTTTCTAACCTTTGCTGTTATTGTATTAATTGTATTTATTACAATAGGGGTAAGTTTTATAAAAAAAATAGAAAAGTAAATATTATTTTTAATATTGATATTATAAATAATTTTAATTAAATAATTAATAAATTTAAAATTAATTTTTATTTTTTATAAAATAATTATAAAAAATATAATTAAAATACTTTAATTTATATTTTGTTTTGCATTAAAGGTACAAATTTTTTTAAAAAAATCTTGTTTTAAAAGTGCTTACATAATAGCATTACATTAATCCCCTGCATACACACAACCCCAACAACGCAAACTTAGCCAGCCCCTTCAATGGGTCTGTACATTGCACTCTGCACCCTTCTCAATCTTGCCTGCCTAAACCCTCGTATCCCTCTTTCCTTCGTCGATTCAAAATAGTGTACAAAATCCAGAAAAAGGATGAAAGGAAGAACATGGTGAAAAAAATTAGAAGGAAAAGAAAGTGGGGGCAAAATGGATACTCTACACCCAATTGACTATGTTTTCAGTCAATTGAGACTCAAATCCGATAAAAATGGAATAATCTAAAATTTTTATCTGTAATATTATAATTATGATATTAGGTAAAATTTTAAATTTATAATTATAATATGTTTTTAAATAAATATGATATATTATAAAATAAATAAATATGTATAATATTATAAATAAATACTTAAGTGTAAAAAAATTTATTAAATAATATATCATATTATAAATTTATAATATCTTATAAAATTATAATTATATTATTTTTAAAATTTTATTCTACGGAGCATATATATATATGTATCTTGAATTTATTTTTTTTCCCTTTTGTAATTGAAATGATGAGTGGACGTGTAACCTTTATTCAGTGAGAAAAAGAAACAGAAGTTAAAACACATGCACAAAAGAAGTTTGTTTGTACTGGTTCTATCATTGTGGTATATTGCTTTTGAATAAAAAGAAAAGAGATTTTTATTTTATAATTTTAAAAAATTTATTTTATAATTCAATCTACACTACACTCACAAATAAAAATTATTAAATAAAAAAAACACTCTCTGTATTAGAGAGCTCATACCCATTCACTAAATTATATTATACAATACAACATAGTTCAAACTTCACTGACACTTAAAAGAAAAATAGAAAATCATAGACTTAATTACACACTTGGACATTATTATCGAAGACTCTTGACTCAAAGTCCAGAAGATACAAATTAATTTAAATTTATCACGGCCCATGAGGTACAAGAGTGCCGTATGTTGCCGCTACAGGACCAATGTGTTCCTTCTCCTCCCAATTCGTATCCGTTATGTTCAAACTCATCAAAGTTCTCTGGCAAGGAATCCGTCGCATCAACCTCTCGTTGGTACAACGCCTGCGTTGGGAGAAGAATGCAGCGCATTCTGCTCCTGATCTTTGAGCCGGAAGACCTGAAACGCAGTTGTTCCGAATATCAAGCTTCCCCAGATTTATTAATCTCCTGCAATAAGGTCCTACCTGCATAAATAATAAAAGTTTAACTAAGTTAATATTTAAGAATAATGATGCAAACATATACAATAATAACTAAGTATCCTAATTTTTCCGAAGATAAAAAATAAAAAAATAAAAAATTGACTCAAACCTGAGTGAAATAGTTATTTGCGAGAGTCAGTCTTGCAATGTTAGGGAGCCTGCAGACAATCTCCGGCACCCTGCCGTAGAATTGATTGGAGGCTAGGTTCAGGAGTTCCATCTTTAACAAGCATGCGAAGGACTGAGGAATTGGACCTGTTAAATTGTTGCCGCTGACATCAAAGACGGTGGACTTGTTCAGGAAGCCGATTTGATGCGGTAAGCACCCTGAGAGGTTGTTGCCCAGGAAAAGTATTTCTCGGAGGTTCCTGGCGCTGCCAATGCTGCTCGGAATAGTACCGGAGAATTTGTTGTTAGCAAAGGTGAGGAACAGCGCCGCCGTGCTCCCGATGTTCCTGGGAAGCGTTGTGAACCCGTTGTTGTTGATGAAGAAAACATCAACATCTAGATTGAATGCGGTCCCCGGAACCCCACCTCTAAAATTGTTGAACCGCAAATCCACGAAGGTTAGCTTTGTGGATTTGACCACTTCCGTTGGAAAAACGCCGCTGAGTTTGTTGTTGCTGAGATCAAGCTCGTACAAATACGGAAGTTTTGATACATTTTGTGGGACAGTCCCTGGAAAAAAACAGAGTCAAGAATGTGTAGAAACAGAGTAAAAAACAAGAGTACTCTATGAGTAATACAAAATTATAAATTAACGGTACCTTTGAAATTATTTGAATTTGCATGGAAAATGGCCGTTTCATTTAATTTCTCCAGGAAGTCATCAAGACGGAGGTTCGGTCCGTCAAAGTTAGCCCCATTAAAATCAACTGCGGCGAGGGCGTTCAGTCTCGCCCCGTATGGAAGTCTTTCGCATGTAAAGCCCCTGTATTTGCAGATATTTGTGCCCACCCATGTTTTCTTGTAGCCTTGTGGGTCACTTTGGATTCGTTTTGCAAATCTCTGTATTGTGAAGTAGTCTCTTTGGAGTAGTGCATTTTCAAATATTGGCTTTGCTTGCTGAGGATGCAGTGGCTCCGACGGTGGTAGTGAAGATGGGGCAGGGGGAGCGCCTCCTCCACCGACAAGCATTTCTGTTGCTTCCCTCCCCGTCCTTGTCACCACATCACCGCCTCCGTCCTCGGCCTCCCAGCACAATCCGGGATGAAAATTGAGAGAAGTAAAGAGCAGTAATGAAGCAAAAAAGCAGGAAAAAGCACCCATTTCTTTGTTTCAATTTGAGCACGTAAAGGAATACGAACGGGCATATTTATACACAAGAAAAGGCACGAGTCAAGACCGAGAAGACCAAACCCCAATCATTCATCAACGCTCTCCTCATAAAATAATATTATAGATGTTTTATAATTATATTTTTAAATTAAAGATTTAAAGATAATTTTTTTTTATTTTATTATTAAAAAATGAAAAAAATTATTTTCACAGTAAAAATGATAATTAAAATTAGGATATAGTAATTTTTTAAATAAATTAG